TAGCCATTAAGATGTAAATGGAACTCATCAGTTAAGAGGATTTTTCGATGGATCATTTTCATGCATTTCAAGGACCCCATCAACAAAGACACGACGTTGCTGATGATCGATCGGTTTGAGTTCCGGTGTTAACTGTACTTTATAAGCCTAAAACAAAAGTCTTTATGCAAAATACGTTGTAATGACGCTTGTGGAATGTGCAATTCAAAAGCATGACGGGAAATTGACCAACTTGGGTTTACGTCACAACAGCTCGATCATTTGCACCAAATTTCTGTATTGCAACCCGACAAGGTGCTTCATGGCGACCGAAAAATGGGTGTCTGCCAAGTGCTCACCATTTTTATAGTCATTTCAATGCGTTGTTGAAAAGTGGATCCTTCTATTTTTATTACTGGCTTAGTTTTTACTTGTCAAATGTCAAAAAATTTCATCTTCAAAAGTGACATCTATCGGAATATTCAAAATAACATCTCTAATTGGAAAATCCTTTATATTTTAGGTTAATTGGATAAGTTAATGTGATTAGGCACGGTTATGAAATTTTAGTTCAAGGGGTTTCGTGAATTGTTATAATTTACAGTTTAGTTCATTTTTTATGGTTATATATTATTCATCTAAAAATTGTTTTCTCTTATTTGAATTGAAATTATATTAGATATTTTNTTAATATATTATAAATATCTACTCTCTCGTTGTATGCACACTAAAATAATAAATACCTGTAAACTAACCAACGAAAGGAGAACACCAAAATATAATGTTGACATTTAATAGTTTTATTTATTTTAACTTTTCAAATTTAAAAATTTGCATTACAAACTTAGGCAGACACAAAAAAAAACATAAAAGGCTTAAACAGTAAAAAATATACTATTAGTTTTTTTTAAGCGGATATGTTATTATAACGTAACTAAAATAAAAGACGAGAGTAAAACGTTGAGTACCTATGTAAGGCGTATAACATGTTTGTTTTTTTTTCCTTTTTGTTTTAAATATATTTGTATAAAGCTACATTTACAAGAAAACTTAGTACTTAATTCTGCTTATATAATGTTCCAATAGGTTTTTGTTTCTTTTTTTTTTAATATATATTTATAAAAAATTATAACAATTTAAACATTTAACGCATATATATAAACTACATATGCATATATAAACTTACTATTTAGATTTTATCTCAAATTTATCAGCAAACTAAAATTGGTTTTAATTATGAAACACAATATTTTCATAACACTCATAACAATACATAACTTGATTTACCCCTTTATTATGTTTAATAAATTAATAAAGCAAATAAGGGATTTTTAACCACCGAACACCTTGAACTGCTGCTGGCTCTTTTTTTTAACGAAGTTAAACAGTTATTTATCGAGTTTTTGAAACTATCGTATTACACTACATATATTATATATTTATTTATTTTACACCAGCATTCGGTAAATAATAATTTATTTATTGGGCTAATATTTAACAGCTTAAATATTCCCGCTTATTAATATTACATTATTAATAAAGCGTACATAAATATGTACACATCACAAATCCCTTTATAATAATATCTTTTATCGAATGAGTTATTTCGTATTTCAATACATACATATAACTACTTAATTGAAAAAGAAATTATGTACTATAAAATTTGTCCATATTCAGCTATATTATTGTTTGTTAAGTATAAATAAAAATCATTTCCAATTTCAAATTGAAACGAATAGCTAACTTAATATACACACGCAATTAACAGTAATTGTCGAAATGTCAACTCAATTTATTTTATTTAATTTTTTTTTCAGAATATATGTACATAGCGCTAGTTGACGAGAGCATTTTTTATTTTTCATTCTCTATTTTGACTTGCAATTTCAAGCAAAAAATATAAATTCAATAGAAGACACTGCTATCAATAATTATCTTTGGGAAATATTTAGATATGTTCAATCGGATGCATAAAAGCAAAAAAAAAAAATAAATAAAATCCTACGATTTGCTGCCATATCTTAGAAAAAAAAAAAACGTTTTATATTAGCCCAATTAGAGTTTTGTTTATAATTTTAAATATTTTCTGCGGGTAGTACTTTAGAAATATCGTGCGAAATTAAAAAAAAAAACGTAAAATTGTTTTTTTTTTACCGCTTTTGAATGTAAACATAATATTTTAATTTATTTTATCGAAAATTATGTAAATGAAAATTAAAAGCCCGTGCATACACCATGCCACAAAATCATAAGCCGCACCAAATCTATATGCTTAACTTGCCTTAAATGTAAAAGAGAAGAGGAAGGAAGGTTTACTGTTAGACCCAGACACCACCTGAGATTCAAATGCATAGGGTAAAAAAAAGTAGCAGGCAACAAAGCAACCATTAGGCTGCATAACTGAAAGTAACATTTTTGCAAAATTTATAAACGCAAAAACTGAGATTAATTTATTTTCAAGTTATTAATTTAAATTTTAATTGCAAATGTAAACTTACTCTTACTCTTACTCTTACTGTCTGAAGCAACTAATAAAGTGCTGGTGACTTGAAAGCCTCTAATGATCGGATTATGACTTGTTGAAACTGTGTTTTCGTGAACTGCTCATAGTCTATGAATACCACTAAATAAAGAAGCCTACTATTTTTTCATGATAATATGGTCAAAAGACACCTGACATTCAATAATGCTTATATTGTACTGCCTCAGCACGCAAAACGTGACACGCTAGGTAAGCTCGTTTAAAATCAAGCTACTCCCAAGGAGGGCAATACCTCGAATACCTATTTACCTGATTTCAGTTAAAGATTTTAGCTAAAGGCGGTGCTGGCTTCATTTTAGATTTTTCTTTTGTTTTCGCGTCTCAGCAGGAAGAAGATATAATCAAGCTATGGGCAGACGAAAAGCATAAATCATGTTTGCTCCTAGTGTTTTACAAATTATAAGTTACAGAATTTTGTGTTGATCTTATAAGTTGTCTTTGCTGCCTGTCATCCCAAAGCTGATACAAAAAAAAAAAATAAAATAAAATAAAATAAAATAAAAAAAATCATAGCTCTATCACCTTCGATTGTGCTCTTGACCAATTTGACGAAATTAAAATTTTTCTTTCAAAAAAGCCAAAATTTTATGCTTCTCCACTTCTGATAATAACTAACAGCAAAAATTTAAATAAATTAATTTTAGTTAACGCTTTTAAAATTTTTCAAAACAGTCTCGACTTTAGTTGTATAGTGGTTGTATTTTAATGTCTTTATAAGGCTGATGTTGTTGCTTTATACCACACATTTGAATCTGTTAGTCTCTGCACCTAAACGTTTTTGAAATTTACGACTACTCTTTTTCTTTTACATATAAGGCAAGTTATTCATATTGATTTGGTGCGCCTATAATTTTGCATTGTGGTGTATAATAAGAAATTTGTGAAGAAAACAAATTTTGGTTAGAAATGAATATTTTTCTAAATTTTGAATAATGCAAAATAAATATTGTTTATTTTATTTCTTATCACGAAATTTAATGTTTTTGTTCTCGTTTTTTTTATTTTTGTTTTGGGAAAAAATTATATGTATTATATAATTATGTTGTCCATAAAATTCTTTTTGCTTTACTATTTTTGGCTATATTTCTCGGACCTCCACCCAATTTCATTCCTGCTATATATATGAATATATTGTATAAGGTAAATATTTCTATTATAATTTCGGTAATTAGATTAGCTTTAAATATATATATCTTTTATTTTTTTTATCACTCCTTTGTTTGTTTGAAACTTTAAGCTAGTACATAAGTTTGTAGCAAAATCTAACTTTATATTCATGTAGTTGATATACCAATTTTAATTAGTTTATTTATTTATTTTTTTTTCAAACTCAAATTACTTATTTATAATTAATAAAACGTTTAAATATAATTAATTTAATAATGTAAAAATTCTTTTACCGCTATCCCCATTTTATTTAGTAAGTCGTATATGTTAAATGTAGCTGTTTTACAGTACCCAATTTTAAAAATATTTATTTTTAGTGCTTCTTAAGAATTATGCACTTGAAAAATAATTAGAAATCCACTAAGTTTTCCATTGTGTTCCATCTTATTCATTAGGTTTTTTTGTGGTTTTTTTTTATACAAAAAGAGAATAACTTTTTTTTATATACTTCTACATAAATCCACATATTTTTTATTGTGGTTAGATCATACATTCACACATGCATTCTTAATTAATAACGCTCTTTACTAAGTAAATAATGTCACTTTAGCCGCAACGTATCGTATCTTTCACATTTTGTGTTTTTGTTAAACAAAAAAACTATAGATTTCACTAATTAACCATTGAACTATTAATTAAGTGCGCCATAAACATTCAGTTTTACAGTGCAGTCTAACCAAATCGAGCTGCACACTCGCAGCGATTTATGATTTTCATAGCTCTCCTTCCACACTAATTCCACTTTTCTTTATATTGAATTAATAATAATAAACTTTCCACGGAAAATATGATCGGTTTTTAAATTACAATTGCATGAAATATGTATAAGACTTTGTAGTTGAAAATGTGATTGCCTCGATTGTGTACTTGACAAATTTCCAAACATTTTTAAATATTCATATATTGAAAATTTATGTTTTCTAATTCAAAAATAAAAAATAATAATTAGGGTTTTTGCAGTATTGTAATATTAAAATTATACTTGATCAATTAAATTAAAATATTAGAAAATTTTTGATAATTTCTCAGGTACACAGAATGGAGACACATGTGTAGTTATCGTCTTTTATAGTTTTTTTTTAATGTATGTACATATGTCAGAACTCTGCCGAAGATTTAAGAATTTACAATTAATATCGGAAAATAATTAATGTTATGTGTTTTACTTTTGTTTTTTTTTTTTAATATTTCATATTTTAGCTATTATGATTTATTACTATTTAAAGTAAATAAATGCTAAGGTTCTATTGCACCTTGGTACGTGTTTCTGTTTACTTGATTTAAAAATACTTAAATAACAAAGTAACAATTTCGAAACAAAATAAAGACTTTTTTAATTTACGAAAGTTTAGCGTAAAAGTATCATGTTTTCAATTATATACATATTTTTTTCATATGTTACGCTTTGTCTATATTCGTATCATCCTTTCATTATTGTGTTGTCTACGGTCATTAAGGGGACTTCGAATCTTTCAGGCATTTTATGGTCACCTTGTAGGATTATTACCAAAAAAATCTTCTGTAAAGAAAACAAAAAATATATGTAAATATGAACATAATATAATGAACGAAAAGGAAATAGCGGTTTTTCAGTTAGTTCAGGATTTTTTTTTTTAACCCGAAAACTATTTTCCAGATCTTTAAACATTTAAAGTAGAGGGCACTAGGTAAAATATATTAAAGCTCTCTCTATTGCTCCAGAATTTAGAACTATTTCTCATTATCAAGATCAAAATCAATATAATTTGCTTGATAATCTGTGAGTATCCCCAGTAGGGCAATATAAAGTCATATTTTATTTTTAGCCTCCTTGAAATCTAGTTCAGTTCTAGACGTTGGCTATGAGGTACAGCGCTACTTTTCTGCCTAAAAAAAATTAGACATGATAAAGATATTTTCAAGTATGTACTAGATACTTTAGCGGAAGAAAGGTTATCCACAAGGTTAAGGTTATCCATTTTGCGGTTTCGAAAAAACGTAATTAAAGATTATTCAATTTAATTTATTTCATGAAATTCATTTTTCATTATAAAGTTTAAGCATTGGCATTTTATGTGACACACTACATCATTCAAATGACAGAATTTTCGCAAACTTCAATCTGTTTGAAGTAATTTGTGAACAACTTTTGGCGTATATGGACGGTATCTATTGTAAGTCATAGCTTGGCGAATGTTGGTTTTCAAGTCTTATGAGCCAGAAAAAGAGGTCCAACTACCTCGAATCAACGACAAGACGAGAGATTACGCGGCAGGGATATTTCTCTCGCTATAAAGACATAATTATTGGTGTTATGTGTCATTCGGTACCATTTTGTTAAAACAACATATTGTTCAAGTCGTGCTCTTCAATTGCAGACCAAAAAAATTCGACCATAACGCTTTGAAGTGACAGCGACAGTTTCGTGGTTATCGGTTTCAAAGTAGTAAGATCCAATCACACCTCCAAGCCAAGGAGCGCCTCAGGCCGTCAGTTGTATTGGGTGTAATTTGGCCGCTCTTCAATTATTTGAGGATTCTCGAAGCCCCAAATGCTACAATCTTGCTTATTTATGAGCCTTGTTGCTGAAAAAAATTTTGTTCGACAAATCGCCGTTCTCTACTTATTGTTAAAGCAGTCAATCGACCCACATACGGCTTTGTAAATGATCAGCTGGCTTCAATTGTTCGGCATAATCAGGCTTTCGGTTACACTCTCATTTATAGTAGCGATATTTGAGGTGAAACGAGCAAAACGATGATCCACAGACCTTACAATATTTGGAACCGATCAGGTGCCTGACTTTTAACAAAACATATTTGGCTTTTCAGTTTACTTTGGCAAATGTCAAAATATCGCCCAATACTTTTGAAACCATAAAATGAATAATTCTATATGGCATAATGTCATTCGGGCGGCAGCCGCGGTAGCCGAGTGGTTATCATTGCGTACTAACATTCGGAAGGCTCGGGCTCAAATCCCTGTGAGACCAGCATCCAAAAGTTATAGAAAATTAATTTAAATAATAGATTTTAGTTAAATTTTGTAATTGCGGTCGGACCTCGGCAGGTATTTCGGACATGAAATAAAGGCCCCTCGTAAAAAAACCATGAGCCGTTCGGAGGCGGCTTAGTATAAACTGTACATCTCTCCATTTGTTGGTAAAAATATCAAGACGTAAAACCACAAATCGGAGGAGGATAAAAAGTGTCAATTATATATATAATGTATATACTTTGATGGCTTTGTTTCCACTTAATCAAGTGATAATAAGCCCAACGAATATCCTCCACCCGCCCAACTGTGGCGAGAGGCGACATCCGCAGTCGGGTCATGATTGGGAAGCGTTTGTTAAGGGTCCAGATTTAAAACAGTTAAGCTACAGGAAAAATAGTTATTTAACAGCTGAAATTTAGTAATCATGGAATTTTAAAATTTAATTGTCGAGAGAAGTAAGAATAGTTTTTTTTAACGCTAAAAAGTGAGTCTGAGAGATCGAAGGTGCTGAAATTAAAAGTAAAAATGTGACACAATCGGAGATAAGGTTCATTCAATTCATAATTTGTTTTACATGACTTTAATAGTAAAGGCCTAAACTGCCGAGATACACGAGTTGGAACATTAAAGTTTACCTTAGATAAGGGCAAACCGAACAAACCGCCTAACAATTCTCTGCGACTTGCGAGAGTAGATAGATTTAAAAGCTTTAAACGTTTGATATAGTGAGGAATATTTATCGTAGAGAACCATCGGAAATGTCTTTAAGAAAAAATTAAAAATTGTTTTTGAACAGACTCTAACTCTGTTTGGCCTGTCTCGGAAGGACATCCGTATAGGGCTGAGGGATTGCCAAACGATGGTTGTTGTTGTTGTTGTAGCAACTACATTAACCCCGCTTAGGGACTTGTTGGTCAATCTAAGTCTTGGAGGTCATCTAACGGAAGGTCCAAGGAACGTGCTGTTTGGACGGGATCGGACTAGGGGGAAAGGGAGGTTAGCTGTGTCGGCTTAAGGAAGCATGTGAAGAGGTTGTTAGTGTCGTGCGGAAATTCTTCAAATGCAGGGCATACGTTGTCTATGTTGAAATCGAGTCTGGTTTTATGCACCGGAGTAGACCCGGATTTTATCCGACCAAGGCCTATAACCCTTTCGGCGACCTAGCCCTGTTTAGGTCAACAGGTAACATTAATCCAAACGTTGGTTATTATTGGCGGTGGAGTAGTGTTTGTGTCAAAGTCCGGCGTACTACAGAGTTTGGATGGAGGTTGTGGTGCAAGAGAAAGGTGATGCAGGAGCTCCGTTGGACGGTAGAAGTCGGTTGAAGGTTTCTCACAATGTGAAATGGAGTCAAAGACGCAACCGTAGAGTCCTCGAGCGCAGTATACCGCTGGCAGCTTGTGCAACGTAACTCATGGTTCACTCAATGTGAGTACTACGACATGAGCACGTCTTCTATGGCACACGCAGCAGAAATATTTCGTCGAAACATAGTTAGATACGGCATCAGCTGTAATAAAGATTTGAAGCAACCCTTCTGGAAGCTGCCGTTTTTTGAATCGTTGGACTTTAGGACAGTTATTTGTTAAGACAAATGTATTACTCACGTGTATCGAAATTAAAATTCATTGAAGGATCAGGTGGAGTATTGAGCAGCGAATTTGGACCAGTAGTATTTCCTCCTCCAGGGCCTAAGGCACCAGCCTGCTGTTGCTGCATGCCAAGCGGATTCGCACTACTCATCCCTCCAGCTCCAACACCGCTCATAGATCCCTGTTGTGCACTATTCAGTGGACTCTGCGGCGTGGAACTCACACGCAGACCGCCAGAACCAACATTACCACCACCCCCGCCTGAAACTCCGTTGCCACCAGTAGACATACCGGCCCCTCCAGCTGCCGCTGCTTGTTGAGCACGTACGCTAACTACAGCTCGTAACTCTTGTTTGACAAAATCAGACGAATTCGATGCGTTGCCTGCTGCAAAAATAAGGTGGAAAGGAAAACATAAATTTTTATTTGAATTCAAAATTACGCTACGTATAATATAATACATTAGGGTAGGTGACACGCATACATCTAACAGAAGTCGAAAAGTAATAGTACAACATTTTTTAATTGTTATGGCAATATTGCTCCTGTACTTTAAAATTATATAGAAAACAAACAAGTAGCTTAGGATTTAGTTTAGCTTTCAACAAACTCGCTTTGCCTTGTGAGTCCCATTTGATAGATATAAATCACGATTTTAAAAGAAGTGATGATTTGCATGCACAGGTTTCTACTGCGAGTTAGGGGCACAAGAATTTACATGTGGTACAGCTAAAAGATATAGAAGCCTTTTTAGGTTCATATATTAAAAGTACAGCACTCCCTATACAAAGGGTCGATCCACATAAACTGCACTTCACTCATTAACACTAAATTTAGAAAACCTTTAGAGCTGAATGCCTTTGTGAACGTAAATGATTCCAATGTTAAATAACCATAAGAAAAAATTTGAAGGGAAAGCAACTATGCTTATTCTGTATAGGCAGACAACCTAGATATAATAGTAGCGAGCGAGTTTGTATACACATTTAATAACGCTCTCGAGAACACTCTAAGACACATACACTGGTGGGAGACATGGCCCAACTTAGAGCTGATAATACGCATACCAAGTACTTGAGGAGGTAATTTTGGACATCAAATTGTGTTGAAAGCTCAATAAAGAGGAAAGGGTGAATAAGGCCCGTATTGCCCTCTACGCATGTAAGTAGATGCTAGAGTCTGTATGGGACCCATCGTCCCATTAGTGTTGGATAGTGTTGCTCAAGTCAATTTTTCCCTATGGTTGTTGTTGTTGCTGTTGTAGCGGTTCACTAGCCCCGCTTACAGGCAGGCTAGTCAATCTAACTCACCGGGGTTATCAAACGGGAGGTTCTCCCCAGATGGATGCGACGGTTTCAGAGGGCATGTAAAGAAGTGGTTACTGCCGTGCGGGGTCTCACTAAATGCAGGACCTACGTTGGCTATGTTGATCTCGAGTCTGGATAAGTAGGAGTTTAATCTGCTGCAGTATCCAGACCTAAGTTGTGCAAGGGTCACTGGGGTCCCTCAGACAATTCGAGCTCTTCGTCTGCTATGGGTGGTGATTTAACTCCGATTACTGCAATCACAGGAAACGAGTCTTTAAAGGTGTTCACTGACTCCTGGTATATGGCTATCAGTGCCTTTCTATACGTCGTCCTGTCCAGCGGTTGTTGAACGTGTTGCTGGATGGTGTCCTTTAAGTCAACTACTTAATTTCTGATGTGTCTAGGTTTAGGTTAATTCTCAATGAGATACCTATTGGCGTGTTCCCTGAGGTAGCATCCGAATAGGAGTTACTTGTACAGCAAAGCATTGTGCTCCTTAGCTCGAAGTGTAAGTGGTTAACTGTTCTAGTGATACTCTGGCAACATCAGGAGGTTTCTTGTCGCGGTCCAAGTCCAAATCAGTGCAGCATAGTTAACGACCGGCCGGCCGGCCAATTGTTTTGTAGGTTGCCAGCAAAGTTTCTTTGCCTTTAACCCAGGTTCTGCCGGCCAGCGCTTTCGAGTATTTAGTTGCGGCTCTGGAATTTCGCGGCAATTCGTATCCGGAGTGCATGATGTCAAATGTGACTCTCAATATATTTGGGTTATTTATGCCGAGTATCTTCGTCCAACTTGTGAAAAGGGTAGCCGAAGATTTAGCCAGTTGAATTTTGAGCTGTCGTGCAGTGAAAAAGGGGGCGGGTCGTCGAGAAGGCCACATAAATGCGTGCAAAGCCACCACACATTAGTGTTGTTCATTATATTTTGGCCATTGGCCTAAACCTAACCTTAATATGTTTGTTTATTGAGCTTTTCTAGACTACGTCAGGTCACTTTAATAAAAAAAAAGTCGTTTGGAAAAGACTTAGAAATATAACTGTTCTAGTTTTAGCTAAAGTAACAAAACAAATTTGTTTCACAGACGATTGGGAAAGGGAAAAGAACACACGTGACTAATTAATATGTACTGCGCATAGCAAATAACTTAAATAAGAGAGAAGGGATAATAAATTCTTATGTGTGTCCTAAAAAAAAAAATTGCAATAAAAATATTGCTACCCGAAAAGTGTTTCACGAGTTTCTGCTTCGAGTTTATCTAGACTTTTTTGACAGCTCTTCTTCTCTAACTTGAGCTGCCTTCCCTCAATATTCGAATTCAATAAGCACACCCAACAATGCGCTTAACCTTATTATAAAGTATTTTTATTTGAGATATATTACTATTTTAAACCTTTCTAAATTAATATTTTATAAATACATCATATACTATAACATACCTGGTAAATGTTGTGTAGCTTGGGGCACACTACTTTGGCGTTGCATACGTTGCATTTGTTGCTGTTGAAATACGTTTGAGGGAGGTCCACCATAGGGCGATTGAGGAGATGGAGAACTCGATGCACCGCCAAAACCCATCGGTTCACCTCCCTGAAATGAGTTTTGTCGCTGTAAACTGACACTTGAACCAATAGCACTCCCTACAGCGTTTCCAGGAACACCACCTCCACCAGGGGAGTTGAGGCCTCGTCTCTGATTTTGATACGAGCGCGCGGAATATGGACTCACACCCTGCTTGATAAATAAATTCATTGTTAAAAAATTGATTGAAAATTCGAAAATGCAATTCACGTACTTGTAACTGAGCGCTTAACATAGGATTGTGTTGCTGTAAAGAGTGGCCACGTTGTGTCGCCATATTACCGCTCAGTTGCGAGTTTTGGGCATTGGTATTTCCACCACTTCCCCATTGCTGTGGCGATGTGGTCGACATTCCTCCGGGAGATTGCACACTACCAGGACCGCCACCGAAATTTGGTTGACGCGGTGAAAGCTGTGATGCAGCGTTATTATTTGCCGTTTGGACAGCCTGAAATGCCATTTGTTGTTGTTGCTGCTGCGCACTTACTTGTTGCTGTTGTTGTGAAAGATGCTGCTGCTGCTGAGGTGAGAGGCGTTGCCCGCTTTGGGAGAATTGCGCTGCATAACCTATACATATATTGCACATGAGGTAAAATTTACATAAATATGTGTGTACGTGTAATATTGAGCTTACCTGGATTCGATTGCGGACTGAATGACGCATTACGCTGATTTGGACTTAACTGCTGCTGTTGTTGTAGTAAACTCTGTGTAAAACTCGGACTCAGTTGTGAATCGGAAGGTAAATTCGTACGAGAAAGGGCAACATTTGGCGCGACAGTGTTATTCAAGAGCGAACCGATGTTGTTTATATTTGGATTTAGACCTAAAAGTAGCAAAAATATATTTACATATATAAGCTATTCATAGCGGCTTAACTAGTTTAATCATTCTCTGTCAATTTGATTATTTTTTTTTTTTATAAAGTAGGAACCTACAGAAATGTATAAGGCCAAGAAATAATGTTCTCAATTCTCTTGACTTACAAGGTAAGGACAATTTTTAATCTTGTCAAATTTTCTGTGTTTGGTTTAAAAAAAAAATTGTCCAAGTCTTTACATTTGAACACCAGCTCATGGCATTATACATCCTTTGAAGAGAAATATTTCATCTCACTACAGAGTAGTTGGTATTGAAAAAACTTATCATACACATTTGATCCGTGCGCGCAGTTGCACTCTCTGGCACTAAAAGCTGTTGCTTTTGTTGTTGCTGCAATAGTCTTTCCTTCTGCTGTTGTTGTTGTTGCTGCTGTTGACGAATACGATACTGTTGATGAGCCGGTAAGACATTGCCCCCAGGCGTTGTAACAGCATTCATTGGACCTCGATTACGCGCCGCTGGGTACATTGGGGGTGGACGTTGAAAACCCTGATTGGCGTTCACTCGTAGTACTTCTAGCATTTGCTGCACCTGTGACGGTTGTTGATTACCTCCCATAGATGCTTGCTGCCTTTGCAGCATTTGCAATTGTAACTGTAACTGCTGCTGTTGTTGTTGCTGTGTCAATCCAGTTAAGCTGCCTCCGCCACTACTGCTCATCATATTGCCGGGATAGGCCGGTGGTTGGGTCTGTTGCTGATGTTGCTGCTGCTGTTGGAGTTGCGACGTTTCAACCATCAAAGAATTCTGTATGGCATTGATAGCCATGCGTTCATTGATTTCTTGCTGGGTTAGACCAGACGTGGCAGTGGGAGTTGGCGTTGATACAAATGGTCCATCATCGGAAACGTAATCCATAACGATATCTAAAATCTTCGATAATTCTGAATCGCCATCGGCACCGCTAAACCCCATCAATTGAGAGTTCGTATTGGATGTAACAATTGACGCGGTTACTACGGTTGTACCTGAGGTAGCTGTGGTATTGTGTGTAGATGTTCCAAAAACGTCAGGTGATGAAAAATTTATTTGCGACTGTGAATGTTGTACCGGCTGCTGCTGAGAAAGACGTTGCATACTGCCTACACAGTGTTGTTGTTGTTGTTGTTGGAGATGTTGTTGTTGTTGTTGTTGTTGCTGTAGTGTGAGGTAGGCATCGGAAAATTGTTTACGCATGCTACTGCTGCGGCCTCCGCCAACAACAGCACTATTAGCACTCGCTGCAGTGGTCGTTGTAATCGAAGAGCTTTTCGCAGTAATATTTCCAAGGTTGTTAGGTGCCGAAACACACATGCCACCGAGAGCTGAGTTAACTCGACTTGTTGAGGGCGCTATATCGGGAATCGTCTTCACTTGAGGAGGCACAGTAGCTATGGGATTCTTTGGTGGATTTTCCAGAAGCGAAGCAAGCATTTTATTACTTTCACGCAATTTAGATGGCCGATCGGTGTCGCGCTTTGCTGATATGCCATCATCAGGTTCATTGAGCGAACGCTTGCGTGTTGTTGGGTCTCCTTGGTATTTTAAACTCTTAAGTAAATCTTCTTGCGACATGTCTTTGGAATGATGTGTGCCATGACCATGTCCGTGTGAATGGCCGTAGTGACCATCCTCTTTTTGTAGTTGTCGCATTAATTCACTTTGACGGCCAAGCAAAGTGCCTTTTCCATCATCATCCTCCGATTTCTCGTTAAGTAGCTGGATAAAAGAATAAACGCAAAATCATTCATTTAAACGGATATATATTTATACATATATATATGCTCATATATATGTTCATATATTCGTGCAGGTAAAAATATAAAGGTGAGTGAATGAAAGGGATGGTGGAGCCTTACTTACCGACAGTAACATGGGATTGCTGGAGTTTGCTGATTTTGGCAATGCCCCACCGCCAAACAGGCGCGGGGCCGTTAGACCAGCAGTGCCCATTTTAAACATGCCGGTGGAACCCCTGTTGCTACCGCCGGAGCCTCCACCATCCTTATCTTCATCGGAATTGAGTAGACCCTGATTGTAAAACTTTTAAGAGATCAAAAAGATCACATAAATACATATTTGAATCGATACCACTCTAAAAACTATTTTCTTTAAAGACAGACGCTCATAGTGTGATTCGTGGGCACTTACCTTATGGCGTATGTTCATATGATCTTTATCACCATCCACCGGGTGCACAGCCGAGGGCATTGAATGCGATTTATTCGTCAACAAATGTCGCAAACGCTCTGATTCAGGTTGGGGTGCAGTGTTTTGCGCATGTGGTTGACACATTCCACCACCAACTGTTGTCAATAATGGCGGTCCACCATTTGATAAGTTTCCAGTACCACTCATCGTATTACTGGAACCACCCTGAGGTATTGGGTTGTTAGCACTCAAACTACTATTGCTGTTAACACTAGTGGTCATATGTTCTTTGTCGATATTTTTATCACTTGTATCAAACACTGGAAATCCAAAACCAAAAGGTGTGCCACTACTCCCTGGACCGGCTGACGATGGCTGACTCGCATTAGATTGTGGAGAAGGCAAGCTCGCAGCTGAATGTGATGATAGTTGATACGGTGTTGATGGTGAAGCACATACAGCTGGACTGAAACCATGACCCGTTGAAGGTGGTCGCGGTGTGCTGACTGGAGTGGTGACAGAGGCGCGAGAATTGGGACGCGAATCTGTCCAGCCTGTGGCGTCCATTTCAAAACTGGAATGTGCCAAGTCAAAATCAAAAGGATCGGCGCTATAAAATATACCTGCTTCAGTGCCAGCAGGCGACGCAGTAAACGAATTAACAAGAGTGGAATTATTCGAAGTTGTTGCAGATGACGCTGGCGCTGAATTAGTACGTTGATTACTACTTCCTGTACCATTTATAACTGCCGATGTCATTAGTGGCCCACCAACGTTGGTTGTTTGTGTGGTATGCGGTGGCATACCGCCGCCACCAACCAATCCACCCAGTAAATGTGAACCGCTACCGACTCCTCCTAAAGCGGTAACTGACGATGATGAGCACGACGAATTATTATTCACAAGTGCGTCTAATGGTAGCGAAAGTGGAGATACAAGTGAGGGAGTAGGAGACATGGTGGACATACCACCAGATGCAATTATATCACTGCTTCCGATGTTCAATCCGCCCATGGTGTTAGCATTACTCGTATTGTTATCTGAATTAAGAACAGTCTGTAGGGACATGATGTAATCACCCTCAGTTTGCGATTGATTAAGAAAAAGTCGGGAATTCGCCTTCACATGAACATAAACATCAGGTGTGCCCAGACGTAATCTGAACGGACGCGACATCACATTCGCAATGGGGGGATTTATGAGTGTAGCAGGAGTTCCACCTGGTGACTGTGTGGATGGTGAATTCATCAAGTGCACCGATGCAGCTGACTCCTGCACCTCGCGCAAGTGTGACTTCAAAGCATTTAAATCTTGTGGGTGACAAAGATCTTGTAAAAGTCGACCCAGCCAGTTACTCAAATGTTGACGATATGGTTCCCTAAGTGCAGTAGCATCCAAATTGAGTATCTTGCCATGTACGTCGAGTTTAAACGTTAAATGTTCAATGGCCTGAGGTTGCACTTGTTGCATCGTTGGCTCGTCTTCTGGTCGAGTAATTAAACATAATATAGAAGACGTTGAATCACCGTCGTCTAAAATAATAAAAGAACAAGTTAAGAAAAAAAAAATGAAACAAAAACATCTCCAAAGGATATTGAAATATTACCTTTCATCGGTGTGGCTAATAACATAACTTCTTCATATTTTTCAGGTTGTGCGTGTTGTCCAATAGTTTTTTGATCCAAACCATCAATGTGGGGCGTCATAGAACCACTCTGCGTTGATGTCTGCGTTGACGAACGCAAATCTTTGACCAGCATTCGCACTTTAGCTGCTATGTTGCGCTTTGTTTTAAGGCCACCTGGACCTAATGAAATTGCTGAGTTTTGAGAGCTGTTGCCACTATTTCCATCTTCTAAATCTGCCCAACCACTTTGACTACCACTAGCACAACCAATGTCACCGCCAAGTGTTTTCCCCGTACATCCATACGTGACATTATTTATAATTGGATCCAATTTCGCATGATCGCTAGAATGCAGATACTCATAAAGTGGTTTGCGACATAATTCTTGCTTCTCATAACCGATAAGTTCACGTATATTCTGAGTACACGATTCAATTATGCCATCCGCTGTTACCTGCAGGAGTACCCAATCAACGGAGGAAAGATAATGTTCCAACGCCTCAAAGTAGGCAGATATTTCTGGAACCTGACCGTTAAGCAGCGACGATTCCGGCAGTGGTGGTTCGGTTGATGAAACGTCACCCTGTTGTACAGGATGTATGGAGCAATTGTCGGTTGCACAACGTGTGCAACGAGTTGAGGTCGCACTATTTTTGATGTTAATTTTAGGAGTTGTAGCAGAGTGTGTACTACTATTGTTATTGTTATTATTAGAAGGTGCCGCATTAATGGCTGAAGAAACACTTGCGGATGTTGAAGAGGAAATATCACGGTTCTGACCTTTGTCGCAAAACTCCCGATACTGTAAATGTATGGAAGTCATCATTATTATCCCTTCTTAAAATGTATGCAATCGTATGTATATATATACATATGTATATTAATAATCATAGTTCACTCAAAATAACAACTAGATTCACAAATGGAGGTATGAAAAATACATTGTTCTTTTTCCTGTGGTATTTGGATAACAATTCTGTTTGTTTGTCTACATGCACATGTACATATATGCATATGTATGTGTGTATGTACGTAAGTTGAAAATCAGCAATGCTAACATAATTCTGCTTATTTTTGCAGTGCATCAAAAGCATTTCGTCTTTACTACATTTCATTTTATGTTGAAATTTTTTTTTTAGTAAAACCCACTTTGATTTAAAGGTAATTCGGCTAAGGTATGTTAATGTGAATCACAGAGTCCTCCTATTAGCTTGTTATCAATATAGAAAATAGCTTCAAAATATTATATGTTGCAAAGCATGCGATTTTTATTGGATAACTTTTGCAGATTTTTCGTTTTCGTACTACATTTACCGCTACGACTTCACAACGATTTCAAACTTCCAAAACGAATGAATCAAAAAAAACTGTGGGGTGTACAAGAAACAACAGAGAAAAGTACAAAATGTATAAAAACGAAAAATATTGCACTGATCACCGCAATCATAACAAAAACAAATAAAGAACCAAATACAATGAGAATAAATAAAAGAAAGAAAGAGGAGATTTCAAAAAATTAGCAAAGCTTGAGAGTGGCAAATGTGTACAACCAAAGACAAAACAGAATAAATCTTACGAAGCTAAATAAGAGAGAAGAACACCAAAATGAAGCCCACATAAACGATCGACACAACGACGTCAATGGCAAAATGAACGCATTGAAATACTTATGCATGCATATGTATATGCAATACATACATACAGTGAATCACAAAAATATTTTGCCTGTGGTATTGTAAGGAAAAACTTTGAATTGCTAGACGCTGATATAAAGATATTCTCCCATCGCTTCCATGTAACAACAACAAGGCTTTGAATCTGTAATTTTTTGACATTTGACAAGTAAAAACTTCACCAGTATTAAAAAATGGAAAGAGCAATGCAATGCAAAAACGCATTGAAATTATTAAAATTTACTATAAAAATTTCGTCGAAATAAGCCATCGAGAACATGTAATTTAATACCTTGCGACTTCTTCCTTTGGGGCCACGTGAAAGATAAGGTCTACAGCAACAGATCAACGACGCACAATCGGATAAAATGTGATGATTTTGGAGATTAATTCAAAATCAAATTTCAAGGCACAGTAAATTTTTGGTACCAAACGAGAATAATTTAGTAAAAAAAAGTGGCAAGATCGAACTGTAAGCGAGAAACTATTAGTTTCGGAAAATAAAGCACGCATTTAAAACGAAGTTAAGGGTAAAATTTTCGAATTCTATTGAATTCTTCCAGGCGTTTCTTTCAAAATCCCAAGATATCAATAGCAATTATTAAAGCTGATATAAATTTTATTAAAAAGATGCATACCACACTCGTAGTTCTTTCTATTGGGTACGATATTGATGTACAGAAATTTAGTGAATACGCTTTAAATACAGGAAAATATTTCGTGGAATGCTATTTTTGGTTGGACATGACTCCAACACTTCACAAAGATTTCGTACATTTACCAGAGATAATATTCTACGCCCTGTTAACAAAAGAAGCTCAGGAAGCTCGAAACAAGATTTTAAGACTTTTGAAGAACTTTTTTCTCGCAAATGTAGCAGAAAAAAGCAAATGAAGACATATTTAACAGACTTTTTATCAATTCTGACCTCGTTATATCTACCAGAAGAAAAAAAAAATTATCACAAAAAAATTGAAGGATGTACAGGATCAAACCTTGGAAATGATCGTGTTGGAGAGTGGCGATAATAATGAAGTTGATGATTATGAAGGCTGCGATGACAATTCAAGCGAATATGATTATGATCATGCATGTGAAAAAGCACTTTTGTATATATAAAATTTGAACCTTAAATAAATAAAAATTGCTGCAAAGCGATGTTCACCATATTTTTGATTTTTTATGGTTTACAAAAAAAAAAAAAAAAAAATTATTCAAATAACTCCAAACGTATTATTTTTTTTTATTTCCTTATGAATAATTAACTAAAAAAAAATAACTTTTTCGTAACTAGAAGGCTTGTAGGAATTGATCTCCATTTTGAGCATTATTTTTCCCACTGTGCGACGAACTGTACGAGAACTCAAAAACATGGAATTCGTGAAGCTATTTGGGGCTTATAGCAGCCACTTTGATTTGTTGATGGCGAAAGAAACATTCGATCATTTATTTAAAAAAAAAAATTTTTTTGAATATCTTTTAATTAAAATACCACACTTTATTTGAAAACTAAAATAGATTTGAATTAGTATTAATTTATATTACAAACGATTGGATATGTAGTAAAAATTTGTCTAAGCTGACGAGCAGTATTTGCATAAAAAAAAAACGCGTATTTGAGTGCCCAATATTAACGCCAAATTCCAAGCCCAAATAGCGAACGAAAAAGTTCTTAAAGTGCCTAATAGTAATGAACTTTTTAAACCTTGGGTTTCAGAAAACAGTGGTTCTTAACGACAATCAAGCAACTTCTGTATCGAATGGTCGTGTTTTTATTGTAGTAACTGCAATTTATTCTCGGAAAATATTAGGGGAGTGACAGTCCTTGGTCATTCCGGTATAAAAATCCGACTGTCGCGGCAAACGTTTGGATTTAAGGCGCTTATTACGACAGGCATGGAATGGTCGTTGGATCGTATAACGAAAGCACTTTGTATTTAAAACATCAAATAGACTGTTTTGAATGACAGTGTTGATTTCTTAATATGAATATGCGTGACAATGCACAAACAATTCAAAGTCAATTGAAATTCAAAATTCTCTTAAGAAGCAGGGTGAAAACTCTCTGGACATACTAAAAGGTATCTGCCTTCTTTACGCATGGCAAACTAATGTAATGTTTCCTAATGAAAATATCATTTTTTTTTATAGATTTTATAGCAGCAACACTTTCCCATATTGTTCAGCTATGACGCCTAAGAAAAACTTCAAATGTCCTCAAGCGACCAAATCATCGCAGCTAAGCAATTCCTTTTGCTCTTTTTGAGACACCCACTTCAGTGCAACAAAACAACGAGTTTCAAAAAAAAAAAAAAAAAAAAAAAAAAAAAATAAATAATAATAATAATAATTTTTTGTACACTCTGAGATACTATTGATTCTATATACAAAACGAAACTGATTGAATTTTATTTTATTTTTATTTATTTTTTTTTCTAAAATATTCTCAAAAAAGCATTAAAAAGCAGATTACCTCAATCGGCTTCGAATGCAAAATACTTTTGTGCTTAACTGTCTAATGTATATAATTTTGATGATACAATGTTACTGACGACTGCGACAACTTTTCCAATGAGTATTCGTATATACGAAACATAAGATAATTATAATATATATATATACATATATATTACTTATTACGAGAGATCGCGTATACACACTTCAGCGCACATACATATGTACGTATAAGCGATTCATGAAATACATATCCACACAGAGATACATACATACACAAATGTATGAGTACACACGACTATAAGAGAGTTGTGCTTTTCGAAATATAGCATAAGGTAAATGTATGTATGTATTTATGCCCATTCATATATGCACATAACCCCATACATACATGGTATACCCATAATAAAGTTCTCAAGCATTTTTATGCAGGTACAAATGCATGTAAATATGTATGTATTCATATACCTTCATTTCATTCGTATTTATGATTAGATTTATACAAATGCAATGTAAATATTTTCATTTCAATTACTAGGGAAGTACATAATTAAATGTAATGAGACTTGTACTTGTATATACATATGTACATAACCATTCCATCACAGGTTTTAAACATTTTAAAGAGAGTTATCTCTTTCGCTCATCGCTCTTTCAGTCCGAGTCACACACGAATTACGCAATTCGACGCAACAACACATAAACAATACTCTGAACAACAATATCTTTTGCCCATATAAACTCGTCGAACCAGTAGCGACCCAAAGCGATTTTGTTCGGGTAACCGGCATTTTACTATGGAAATATTAAGTTTCTCCGATGTACTTAGCTGGCGTAATGATCATTCATTTCATCTATACTCAATTAATAACGACTGGTATTTATTAGAAGCTGGACTGAATCCGCAGGTAACATTTATGTTTCCTTGAGAAAAATTGTTAAATTGGTAACATCTTTATAAAGTTTACATACATATGAATGTACATATACTCGTATACATGTGTATAATAAAAATACTATTAAGCTTATGATACTGTGTAGTGTATCAAATCATTAAATACATATGTACATATGTACATGTTAAAGGGAATTCCGGTGAGAATTTATTAATATGCATGTATGCATGTTTTTCTCAAAAGCTATGAAACACAGTACGTCATATGGATATACTGAGAAAAAATATCTTGTCAGCAAATATGAAGAGAGAATCAACAAAAATAACTTTTTTAGTTTAATACGAATACTGTACTAAAACGTAAACACAATAATAATTCCAGGAGAAGTAACGGTAGTGAACTCCGTTGCACCTCGAAAAGCTCGCTGTCGCGCAGTCAAATCTAAATAGTTTGTTGATCTGTTTGTTTGCTTGCTTGCAGGCAATTTGGAACGAACAATATTTTTTGAAATGTTCGAGTCGGCTTTTACATTTGCCAACGGACTTATTCCGAGGTATTATAGAACCGACACTGAAGATAAGCAAATCCAACAATTCAATTTAATTTTTATACTGGTATTAACACATTTGAGATCATTAAAAATAAAATGACTTCGGCAGTAATAGCTTTTTTGAAGATAAAAGGATTTGGAGAAACCAGCCAAAAAATAAAGCAAAACATTTTTGGGGATGAGAGCAATCCGCTGGAGGGCCAGGGTTGATGTGAGAGCAATTTGCATTCTACATTTACATTTTCTGATACAAAATTTGTTTGTATTTAGATACATATAGATCAGATGGTATTAACAAAGAAGCGTTTGTAATAAAGCTGCATCTTATTGAAGACAGGTTAGATATGCTGCCTATCCCACCTGTGCTCCAATCTTCAGCCACACTGCGGTTTTTGGCAGAAGGCCCCTATTAACGGTCTGTGGGACTCAAATATCTCCTTAGTGCGTTCTATAGAAATGCCACAGGCTTTTGAATATTTCATTTGCCCACGATTGATAATTTTAGAAATAAACGACAATGGAAAACGGAGAGTTCGTCACCATTTTTACATCAAGTATCGTATTCCAGGCATTGCTGATTGTAAAATCTATTGTTCATGACTTACATTTTTATTAAATTTACGCTAAGAAGCTAGCATACAATTCTGCCAACGAATTACTGATCGGTTTAATTCTTTAATTTAAACCGATAACTCGGTTTCCGTAACATCGACACAAATTCTGTTTCGAAAATGAAACCGATAAGCAAATCAATAATCGGAATGTTGGGTATGCTGAGGTCGAGTGTGGATAGGTAGGTGTTTAACCTGCTACAATATCCAGACCTGAGTTGTGCCAGGGTCACGCGGGTCTCTCGAGGCAGCTCGAGCTCGTTGTTTGCAATGGGTGGTGCTCTTTTTCCTAGCATGCCATTCACGGGAAGGCGGTCTTTGAAGGTGTTGACTGACTCCTGGTTAATGGCGTTCAGTGCTTGTCTGTTGTTGTTGCACATATTGCTAGATAATGTCCTTTATGTCATGTACTCTCTTTCTGATGTGCCTAAGTGGAGTTTCAGTTTCTATAAGGTGCTTATTAGGGTGTTCCCTCCGATAGCATCCCAATAGGAATTGCTTGCACATAACGTATCACCATAACGTACATAAAACGCCTCTGAAGCATCATCCATGACATTTCGATCACAATTAGAAAAATTATTTCTGTACAATTCAGAATGGTATGATGCTAACGCTCTTGGGGCCGACTATTCGATCCCGGTTTGTCCGGACGTATCCATTGGTTTGCATAAACCCACCATTGGATTGTCACCATATTTGGCCCTTTCGAGAAAATCGTCTTTAACGTCATTCGATAGCTCTTGAGCGGTATAATTTGTTTTTTAAATTACAAATCGATATGCAACACCAAATAATTTCCAAAATACAAAATTCACAATTTTTTTCAACAGACCTCGTATTTTAGGATAAAAAAATAACTATTTTATATACCCGCAGAAAAAAATGGGCCTATCGGAAATTTGAGCCTCATAACCTAGAAACTTTTTGAATCACTAATTATATGAATAACTCTAACAATAATATTAAATTATACTCACCGTTTTCACAACTTGATTTAATATAGCCGCCTTGTCTGGTTTCGTAGGGCTCATATCCCCACGTTTGTTGAGTTGTAGAAATTCGGACAATTGCTCGATATAATTATTTTCCAATTCCCGACGCCGTTTCTCATTGTTACATTTATTAATCTGCGATTGTGGCTGAAAAAAGATAAGAAAAGATAAAAATAAAAATAAATTTAGTTTGATGATTTATTTTAAAATGAAGTTTTTAGTTTAGAACGCAAATAGACCAAATTGAAATATAGATCTACCTAGGCGCAAATACTATTGAACAGCAAATGCTTATTTTGAAGAAGAGTCGCCTTTGCTGGAATGGCATGATGCAAGATCAGACCAAAAGAAAGGAGGCTAAAAATGCCTTAAGTTTCTTTTGCAAGCATTCTTTCACGTAAATGTCACTATTAATTGTACCAGAACCAGAAGTGACGAAAGTTTTGCTTCTTTTGCTACAAGTGCAGATAGAAATTATAAAAATTTGCGGAAACTTTCTTTCAGTTTTTAGTTTTTAATTTTTTTCTGGACGTTTTCTCTAAAATCAGGAACATAAAACTCAGTACAATGCGCTCACTGAGCGGATTTCCCTTTAACACCTTCTCAGGCAGTCTTGGGTCACCGCAGCCTTTTTCTGCCCTTACCGTTTGTACGATCTACCGTAAGATTACCTTTGAACTCTTTTACTACCTGGGAAACAGTGTTTGGACTAACTTTATCATTCCTTGCAATTCGCTTAAGGGGTTACATAGGTCTTGAAACTTCAAAAAATTAATTTTTCCCCAAGTTTCAAGTCGATCGAGACGAAACGGCAGAAATTAGATTAGATTAGTTTTATAACCCGCCGTCTTTTTCATAACTTGAAAGATGGCGAAACGTTAAACGCGTTTACCACTTTAACGAAATCGGTTGTCAAAATTTCTCACTTCCATTAATCACACTTCTTTTAAGCATGTTTTTGTAGTCCATGAACGAAGAATTTCTTTTATCTTTGAATTCAACTCATTTTACAAGCCAATATGTGTCCTAATTTTATGAGAAAAATGACGTTTTTATAAAAACGCTACAAAAAATTCCATTTTTTTCTTAAATTTTTCTTCGTTCTAGTTCTAATTAGAGTTTGCAAAAAAAAAGACTCGAGTTTTTTTAATTTCATTTTTATAAATTCAAGTTGATCCGACTGTTATTTTGGAAGTTTTACGCATATCTGTAACGATGCGTCACAGCATTCGAAAGCGGTAAGCCTCTGTGGCGCCTCGTTTTTCTCAAAACTTTGTTTTTCATTACGGTGACTAAGATTTGCTGGAAATGGCTGAACCGATTAGTTTCAAATTTTTACACGGGGTTCTGAACAATATTTTCTAGTACTCAGTCGAAGCTTTTCCATTATGTATGCAAAAATTTTTTTTGATTACTCCTATTAACCACAACATTATACATTACTTTAACGAAATCCGTTTTATTTTTTTCATTTCAGATGATTCACTTCAAAAATAGAATGGTCACCGCAAAGCGGCGTTTTTGGGACTGGTCAATGGAGATCTGCTGTAGCAGCTGCAAAAACTATTATTTTTATAAATATAAAATTGATAACTACTTCTCATAGGTGCCATAATATGTGAACAAACGCTCAAAATTATAAAGCTAAAAGTTTACTCTTGAAAAATGCCTGAAACCCCTAATTTTTCAGGGCTCCAAATTAGATAAAACCCCCTAAAACATATTGTAATATCTACGATAACGAACTGACTTAATTTTATTAAAAAAAGCTCAAACTTTATTATCCTATATTCTTCTTATTTTTTCAAAAATACCTTTTTTATGACCACTTCAACTTTTCTCAGTGTTTACAAATTTCATTGCATATTTTTGGAAATTCAGTCCTATTCTAAACAGAAATTCCGAGAGAATTTTTTCTCCCTTCCCTTCTCTCGTATTTTCAATGACATCTCCACGGGAGATATTTTCCTTTCCCATTTGCTCATCTTTATAATGTAGTTCGATATGGCTGTTTTTTACGGAAAAAGGTGGCATCACTCACTCATGTGAAAATATCGTTATTAAAGATTTTCTTACATTTTTTATATTGTTTCTACCATTTTTATTTTATTTTATTTTTTTTTATTTTTTCTATTTATTTATTTCAATTTTTTCTATTTTTTTATTTATTTGTATTATTTGTTTTATTTATTTTATTTTTTTTTATTTTGTAATTTTATTTAATTTTTATTTTTTTTATTTTTTTTTTAAATTTTTTTTTTTAATTATTTTTTGAAATTTTTTTTTTATTTTATTTTTATTTTATTTTTATTTTATTTTTATTTTATTTTTATTTTATTTTATTTTTATTTTATTTTAATTTTATTTTTATTTAATTTTTATTTTGTTTTTATTTTATTTTTATTTTGTTTTCATTTTGTTTTTATCTTATTTTTATTTAATTTTTGCTTTTATTTTATTTTTGCTTTTATTTTATTTTTACTTTTATTTTATTTTTACTTTTATTTTATTTTTACTTTTATTTTATTTTTACTTTTATTTTATTTTTACTTTTATTTTATTTTTACTTTTATTTTATTTTTACTTTTATTTTATTTTTACTTTTATTTTATTTTTACTTTTATTTTATTTTTCATTTTTTTAAAATCGATGCGACTATAAAAAGCGCTGCTATTATTGGTAATTTATAACCACCGAAGCGATTTTCGACCAAGCTCCTCGCCCATTGGCAATGTATGTCTTAATGTATTTCCAAGAAATAAAAGAACCTATAGTTTATTCCAACCCGCCTCCGATGTACATATTTTTACGACGAACTTTTTAGTTCACCTCAGAAATACACTCGGAAAAATAACTTTTTCTACAATTTGGAAGATTGGTTTCGATCCCAAAACCCCCCGCAGGCTAGCACGGCTACGCTTGTTCATGTTATTATTAATAAATTCACTCACCAAATTTGCTTTCGGATCAGTTTTTCGTCTAATTTTACGAGTCGGTGTCGATGGATTGTTTGAGATCGGTGACGCTACCGCATTCATAGTGAAAGAGTTTTGTATTGGCGTTGCTAAACTGACAGTTGCGGCAGACTTTTGTCGCAATATTAAATTAATATTATTATTATTGTTGTTGATGCTGTTGTTGTTCTTGATATTATTTACTAATGTGCTGTTGTTATTGTTTATGCTAATATTGAGGTTATTCTTGTTATGCAACGCTAAGCTGTGTTGCTGCAATTGTAGCTGCTGCTGCTGTAAGGTAAACGTTTGGCTTCCAGTACCGGCGACACTGTTATTATTTATATTATTGTTGACGTTTTTTATTTGAAAGTTTGTGGTAGTTGCTTGTGTTGAAAAATTACCAATGCTATCCCCACCAACAACTGATGATAAAAAGCCAGTTTCGATACCTCCTCCACCACCACCGATAGCGTAACGGCTAAGATGAGCGCCCTTTGTTAGTGCAGGTACAATACCACCAGCACGTGGGGCCGTTACCACGCTGCCAATGGCCGCTGTTGAATCTGTAACGGAGGCTGTCCCAGCAGCCGCCGATGTAAGGGGCACCCTATATATGAGATTGTCAGTAGTTTTGGTACTTGATCTTTCAGATGATGCTGTTGAAAAGCAGGTAGCAGCTGTCGATGACTTGGCAGTTGTTGTTGTACTATCGTTCTTGAAGAGTCCACTATTAGAGCAACTGTTGTTGTTGTTAATAGTATGTGAAACTGCCGTACTTGGCGAAGGTGTTGCAACTGATGAAAATGATTTGCTATTGACAACAATACTAGCGCTATTGTTGTTATTATTGGAGTTTTGTGTCCAAGGATCAGGTAAATCACATGGGCCAAGCCTAAATAGAATGAAGAATAAATATATTATAAAATTATTATGACAACAAAAAACTATATGAAATTAGTAATTATAAATGTTATAATTTTTTTGTATAAATAAACCTTGCTCTTTTAAATAAAATTTTTTTCCAGAGGAAATATTGAAATATGCCACTGAATTCTTCTTCTGCAAAATTTTTTGGACCATATGGTCCATTGGAGTAGCGCTACAGATACTCTTCCGTAGTGTACTATTGGATCAACTGAAGTCTCACAACCAGCTTGTTGTTAGCCGATGATTGTTCGTGTTTTAACGAACGCAATAACAATATGAAGAAGCAATCTCATATCGTAAACGGAAAAATTAGATTTAAGCCAATTTCGTTTCGTAGGGGAGCTCTGGATTCGCAAAACTCGTGCAGAACTTTGAGCTATTCGAAAATGGTCACTCTAGCATTTGCAGTAAAGTCGTTACTGGTGACGAATCTTGATTCTATATGCATGATGCAGAAACCAAACAGCAGTCCATGGTATTTAGCCCAACAGGAGCAAACCCACCCGTAAAATCTATGCAACAAAAATCAGCAGCAAAAGCAATAATGTCAGTTTACTTTAGCCGATCTTAAATCGTAGCTGTTATTCCACTGGAAAAGAGTCAGGTGGTAACTGCAGAACAGTACACCGAAGTGCTTACCAAAAGTTTCCAAAAATTTGTTTGATAACAGAAAGAAAGAGCTTTCGCGGCGTTACTATTTACTTTATTACAACGCGCCATCTCTCACTGCTGAAATAACGAGTAATTTTATTGCGATCTCTGGGATCGAAGAAATACGTCTATCACCATATTTTACGGATAGAGCACCTTGTCATTTCTGGTTACTTACAAAAATTAAAAATAAAAATACCAAAGGAAAAGTCTTCAATAGCAACGAAGAAATAATACATGCGGTCAATTCTGAACCAGATATGCTTAAAAGGTAAGATTATGTCAGAAGTGGATCAATAGGCTTAAGAAATGAATTGAAATCAATGGCGATTATGTAGAGAAGATAGAAGAGGGCAAAGATTACGAATAAATACAATATACTCCATGGACTACACGGATATTATGCAGAGGTGGTGGTTATGGTCCAGTCCCAGGACATCGCGCTCAATGTTGGTTTTGGAGGACAGTAACAAGTACTTATGGTTATAGTAACGAATATATGTGGGTACATTTTTATCGTTACTTTCACTAATCTACTCTTTAAACCGTAACAAAATGGCTGATTAGAGAACCTTTTGCATAACTGGAGATGAAAAATGTATTGTTTACAATAACATCAATTGTCCAAGGATGATGAAGCGACACAAACCACTTCAAAGGCTGGCATCCACCATAAGAAGATTATGCAGTCAATGTGATGCGATTGGAAGAGTGTGGTGTATTTTGAGCTGTTTCCAAGTAACCAGACGATTAATTCGGATATCTACTGTGAACAACTGCACAAATTGAATACACCCATCAACTTGAAGCGGCCAGAATTGGTCAATCGTAAAGGTAAAAACTGAGAGAAGTTGGCTGAGAACTGTTGATGCATCCACCATATAGCCCTGACCTTGCATTGTCAGACTACAATTTGTTTCAATTTTTGCAGAACTCATTAAATGGTAAAACTTTCGAAAATGACAAGGCTATAAAATTCGCATTTGTTTCACTTTTTAGCGGATAAAGGCCAGAATTTCTATGAGCGTGGAATAATGATGTTGCCGAAAAGATGGCGAAAGGTCATCCATTCAAATGGAAATTACATAATTCATTCAAGATCATTGTAAAATTAAAAATAAAAAAATTATTTACTTTCTTTTAAAAAATCTCCGGTTTTTATTTTGATTGTTCGTTCGGCTAGGTTTCGAATTCATGAACTTTCGAATGGTGGTAAGCGTTGCGATCAACGAAGCTCAAATGGCAGTGTAATTAGTCATTCAATAATATATTAAAGTGATCAAAAACAACCATGTAAAACGACAAAGTTTTCGCGTCGGGAATATAGATTGTGCCTGCGCAATTGCCAACTTAATCACTAGAACTGAAACGAATTAAAGCCTTATGAAAATATCTTAAAAACCCTTTCAGTTTCTCTATATTCACCCAAATAATGATGGTAGCTTCAGACAAGATGACTAAATATCCGTCTACCAAGGCGCCAACTATGCAACCATATTAATATAGAAATTCATTAGATTCTTGTAGACCGCCAGGCAACAATTAAAAGTGGTCTACACAAAGATCAAATGTCTACTGAGAACACAGTGAACATCATTTGGGTGCCGGGTTACTAGGTTGTAGAAGGTAATAAAAAGTGGAAAAGCTGGCTCACAAAAGGGACGAAAACCTGGAACACTAGCTTTGCAAAAATCTGGTCTCTAGTCCCACATTTTTGAAAAATGTATATTTTTTTTCTTAATATGCCACAAAAAAAAGCAACCTGCTCTAGTCAGATATACGATACCGACACCGCCAGTACTTCTTAACCTTTAGCTTTAGAGATTGTACTAGCTGGCAAGATCGAGGCTACGAAATTAATTGTTAGCCTGCTCTACTGATGTGCAAATACATACATACCACGGCGTCGTTCGTATCAATTTGGACTGACGTATGGAACGACTTAGCGCACTTCACGTCGAGATCTTAAATTGAGCGTACACAATACAGCTTGTGCAAGAACTGATGCCGCTCGACCTCCCCAAGCGACATCCCCACGCTCTATGGGCTCATGAAGATCATACGATTCAAGCCAAATTCCGTTCAGCAATGAGACCCATTTCTGGCTCAATATGTATAGGTAAATAACAACTTGAAGAGATTTAAGTGCTGCCATTTCATTCTGAAAAAACAGTGGTTTAGTGTGGTTTCTAGGCCATATTACTTCAAAAAAGGGTGCCGATGAGAACACAACCGTCAATGGCGTCGACTATTTTTTGCAAAAAATATATTTAATATCACATTGTTAGACTTTTTCCTGTGGGGATTTGTAAACTCTAAAGTATATGTGGACAATCCCGCTTCGATTTTGGTCTTGGAGCAAAAAATTACATATGTGTTTCGCTAGCTAGTCACCGAAAATGAGATTCAACGGACGGACCATTTGCGACGTAGCCGCAGCCAACATTTGAAATAGATAATCATCAAAAAATAAATACCAAAGAATGTTCTTTCGAATGATAATCACTAAAATTGAATTTTATAAGTTTTTTTAAAAAAAAAAATAGTAGATAACCTCGAAATGGATCAAATTTCTAAACTAGTTATGCCCCAGCGTGCTGCACTAAAGCAAACGTCCCCTTTTTCGAATCCGGGCAAGCTTTAAATAAACCATCTGCTGAACAAGCCTATAAAATTTGTTTATAGTTAATAATAATGAAATGGCAGGAACTCAAAATATTATTTGGTTATGAGAGATCTCTGTTCAAAGTATATGCCACGCGAACTCGCTTTTGACCAAAAACAACGACGAGTCAATGATTCGGAGAAGTGTTTAGAGATATCCAAGTGTAGTGAACCGTGTTCCACCATGAGGCCGCCGATAGCCTCCGTTGCTAGTTGCCTTAATCTTGTAATGTAATTATTTATAATTATATTTCAAACCAATAAATCCATCGAATTCTCTACGTCTGGCTCCCAGCGACTATTTCCTATTCTCTAAAGAAGAAGGGAAAAAATGTCTTTTGCTATGGTGGGTGCTTTTCAATAGACTTCTTATGCAGGTATTAGACCCCGCCTGCCTTTCCTCCGAATGAGCACCAACTCCACACAAACCTGACAGCACATATAAGCCGTATTAATTTGGTTGAATTCGGAGAAGCCTCTCTCAGGTTATAAGGCAACAACAGAAACCGGGGATTATTTTTATATAATTATAAATATGTATGTACATATATGTCTATATACGAGTACTTGTGATTGGATTCGTTGAAGCCGCGTCCAATTTATAGAGAATCACTCAAAACAATCACATATGTATACATATATGTACGTAGGTAAATATTTTACCTGACAAAAGTAATTTACAACATTTATTACATTTAAAAGTTCAATATCGAAAAAGGTTGCCAAATTTTAACACTTCCGTTAAAACAAGTGTCGAGGATTCAAATGTCATTCAAACTATTAGAATCTGCCTTGTCGACTCGATCGCCAACCCAAGCCATGAGACACTAGTCACGCATCGACAACTTCTTAACACATCGTCAAAGTAATTTCGCGTTCCAGGCCGTGGCCATTAGCTGCATACTTATGTCACCTGCTAGTGTAGCGCCACAATAAGCGTAACAATATCGTTTGAAGCATTGGCTGCAGTTGCTGCCGTTAGTACAGTTGGCAACACTGATGTGCACTTGCTGTATAGTGTACATATATAGAGAGGCCACTTTGAGAGAGAATATTTGTGCATGTATGCGTACGAATAAACTAACTGATTATAACAACGAAATGCTGTTGAGCGTTGTCGTCGCTTGACAAAATGTGGGTCATGGATGAAGGAAAAAGCGTAAGTAAAGTGGGTCATGATTTTTGTTTTCTCTCACGTTCAAGTGTAATTTGATTTTATTTATGTACAAAAAAAATTATATTTTTGCTACGTTATACATTTTAGTTGAATTATATTTTTTTAAAATTTTAACAATTATATTTCTTTGAAGAATATGCTAAGAATTTAGCACAAAAACTCATTTTCCGCTTAAAATAAATTAATTTATAACTAAGAGTTTAATAAAAAAATTTTAATAATATAAAATAACGGTATCTTAACTTATTTGCTTTCAAATTACTTAACCACTATCATTTGCCAGATTGAGATACTTATTTGCAACACAAAGTACGTTCGTTGTTGTATTGTAAAGTTTTAAATAAATCCATTATAGAGCTTAGAGAACGCCACAATTGGGAGATTTTTTCATTGTTATTGTTGTAGTAACCGCAAAATAAATTCCCGAATTGGTTTTCGGGGATTATTGCGGAAGTGACAGTTATAGACCTAAT